TGGCGTCGTCCCCGTCTGTCCTTCTGGCTGCTATACCTGCCCCTAGAAGTCGAGCCATAGCAGAGCACTCTGGTCGCAGTTCGCCGTGTCAGCTTCTGATGGGGTCGTATCCGCGGTCCAGTCTCCCCTGCGCCAGTGAGCCCCCGCCTGGTCTTCGGTCTCCCTTTTGCCTTGGACGCCTGCCCTGTCATGTGCCTTCCTCGTGTCAGGGCCTCCGCGTTGTCACCCCGTCGTTGACCATGGTTGGGGGGAGGAGACTCCATCCCAGCCCACTTCCCATCGAAGTCTTGGGGCCCCCTCACACCCTGGCCCTCACTCCGTCGTCTTTCCCCAGCCCTAGTGGGTGCTCCTTCCCCCTTCGATGTGCCTTGGCTCTCCTGGCCCTTACTCCGTAGTCTCTCCCTAGCCCTAATGGTTATTCCCTCCCCCTTCGATGTGCCTTGACCTTCCTCCCGTCGTTCCGATCGTTGATGCTGGTTGGGGAGCGTTGACTTAATCTGCTCCCCAACTTGGCCTCCATCAACCGCTCCCCCCCCGGCCGCCACTCCCTCTCCGATCGATGCACCCGGGGTTAACTCGTGATCCCGGGCCCCGTTCGTCGCTCGGCAGCCAAGCTGGTCATAGGGCTGAGGGTTCGTCCACTGTCCGTCCTCGTCCACCTGGGTCTTTGGTCGCTCTCCCGCATGCCGCCGTTGTTCGCCGGCGCTTTCGCAGCATTCCATCGGCACCACTTGGCTCCTCCCCTCTTGTTGGCCGCCTCCCTCCCGCTCTGCCGTCTGGTCGGGTAACGTGTCCCCTGATAGCACAATGACCTCTCCAGCTATTGCTTGCCCTTGATGCTTCGGGGGGGGGGGCTCCGTCTGCGCCTGGGGTAGTGCGGCATCTGGTTCTTGCTGTTGCTGCGATGGCGCTACTTGCTGCGGCGTGGGGGACGCCTGCTGTAGAGGATGCTGCCGCTGCTGCCGCTCTTGTACCATTTGCTTAATAGACTTCTGCCGATCCTGTCCCCCGCGATGGCGCTCCGTCGGGCCTACTTGTACTCGCGCCATGGCGACTTTGTTGGAGTCTTGATCCGGCGCGACCGCTCGATGTGCACGGCCTTCTCCCACTCCGTTAGTGTTTGGCGTCTGGTGTGGGGGGGCTGGCTGAAGTAACCGCCGGTCTCCGACCTCCATCACATCCCCGAGACTGGATTCTGTCGCAATCTCAGTATAGATCACATTATCAAACTCTTTCTCGAAGTCCTCCCAACACGCCACCTCCGTAACATCGTCAAGCATCGCCCCCTGCGCGCCAGGTGGCCATGCCTCCGGCAGCTATCGCACCATGGGGTCTCACTGGTGATCCCTCTCACCTCTGGCCGGCCGTAATATGTTTGTGCCACTGCCAATCGCTCAAGTCCCTGCGAGCGGAGGGGGGGGTAGAGGTCAAATCTAATTGTCTCTCTACCATCGCCGTCAGTCGCCCATGTACCCTCTGGGTTTCTGACCGCCCCAAAAAACGATTCCGCTAATTGCCGGAGCATTAGCACCGCCGTGGGGGGGGGTTGCACAAATCGCACCCATGGCCTCGCCTTCCGTTCTTGCAGCCTCTCCCACTCCACTTCCACTGGCGACTTCCACGCTGTGAATCTGACATGGTAGGTGCGATCACCCAGTCTAATACCCTCACTTCCCTGCTCACGGAGTAGCCAGTTTCGCAGCGCAGCCGTGGGGGCCCAATAAAAGACCAACGCCCCGCCCTCCACCGTTGCCCGGCCTTTATACGAGGCTTGACCTCTCTCGGGCCAGTTCTCCAGCTCCCAACAGCGTATCCAGTCTAACTTGGCCTGCGGTGCTAGATCCTTCAGGGGTCCCTCAAAGCGCATGACGATGATGTGAGCGCGCATGTAGGTGACTTGTGCAATCGCCATTTTCTCCTCCACCTGGAGAATAAGCTCACCATCCGCCGTCTTGAGATTCGTCGCAGGGTCCGTGACGAAGGAGCGTGTTAGGGCCGCTTTCCTCACCGCTTTCATGATTTGCCAGTCCGTTCGCGGCCCTTGTGACGGGCCAGCTTGGAGGTGGTTTGCCTGTACTCCCTCTCCGTCTTGCGCTGGTGCCGCCATCATGCTCCAGCTTATCCCGTTTGCCCAGATCTAACGTCCTCCCCGTCTGTCGTGTCACTCTCACTCGAGTACAGGCCCCACCGTTGTCCATGAGGGTTGCGAGGTTCTACGGATTGGTCCGGCTGTTCTTGTTCTGGTCGTCCCACCTGCCCCCCATCTCAAGTCTCCTCCTCCAGCTGCGATATAGCCTGCTGTCCTTCTCGCTGCACCTCAGTCTGCTGTGCACGCTGTAGCGGTGGTCGAGCCGACTGTTGTCGAAGTCTAGTCGCCGGCGGCAGAGGTCTGCAGGAGATCCGTCCTACGCGATGGCGCCGAAACGCCGCACGCAGTTCCTGGTGAGSAATCCTATTGATGGAGAGGTTGCGTCTAACCGCAACCACCACTTCGTCTGTCGTATTGCCCTCTTCACTGCGGTTGTCGCCACTCTGGCTCCGTGTATGAGTCCGCGTACTTTCCTGTGGGCCGAAAGCTAGTAGCCAGTTCTCATTCCGCTTGCACCCGTCGGCGCTCCCGCTGAGACATCCATCGAGAAATGGTCGTTGTAGCAACGCTATAGAGACCTCCTCGCCTCCCTATCTCTATAGTGATAATAAGGGCCGCTAGGCGATCTATCCAACCCGCCGTACTGAATGCGGCCCACCAGGCCACCAGCTTCTCACCACCAAAGAGGAGGTGTCGGCAGATGATAAAGGCCAGCGCCCACGTGCACCCTCGGATCGCCGCGACTCCCACCTCCATGATCGTTGCCCTCCACACTAGGGATACTGCTCCCCAGAGGGTCGCCGCTACCTGTTGTAGGCCATCCGTTTGTTTAGCCAGAGTCCAGCCCAGCAGCAGCAACMCAATCCCCCATAGACGCTCCCAATCCTCCATTCACCTGGCATGCAGTCCAGTCACCATCCCAGTTTTTATTGTCATCACTGTACCCTACTTCCCTGTTTCTGTCACCCTCTTCCTCAGTCAGCGCTGGCCCAACCTTTCCTGGAAGCACTGTCTCCTGGTCTCACTAAGGCGTAGCCTCCCTCCCTCGATTTCCTTGTCTTCGTTGATTTAGTCATTGCCAACCTCACTGTCTCAAGCGGTATCCGCACTTCCCCCCCTTACCCTATCGTCAATCCGCCGTGCGTTCCTGTCTTTCCGCACACCATACGCCTTCTAGATTCCCGCCATCACTCCCCTTTCCTACGCCCCCGCTCCCTCCCCGCACCACACCTTCTCGAACCTTTTCCTCGTCACGGTCACTCCAGCTCGCCCCCCTCTATTTCCTTGTCTTCCGTCGGCGTTCGCGTCCCCATTCAGCCTAGGCCGTCCCCTCACTGTCCCTTCCTTTCGGTCAGTGTTGACGTAATCGCTATCAGCGTCCCTATTACACTCAGTGTCTACTCTTTCTGCCCTTACCCCTTCTCGATCCCTGCCATCACCAGCCTTCCCTGCGCCCCCGCTTTCACCCCACTCCGTTCCTTCTCGATCCTTTCCCCCGCCTCACTCTAGGTTTCCTCCGAACTTCCTCGCCAGCGAGGGTTCTATGTTGCTATCGTCACTCAAATCTCTTTACGTGTTCGCCGTATGGACAGCGTCGTCCTTGGCGGGAGTCTGTCGGTGTTATTACGCTCCCGCCATACCTGTATCGTATCATACTATACCTACAACTTTTCGCTCGCTCTCACAGTTTTTGCTCCACTCTCACCGCTCTCACCGCTCTCCGCTCTCCCCTCTCACGCTCTCCCGCTCTCACCGCTCTCACAGTTTGTATTCGTACTGGAAATCAAAATCAAATGAGCTTTTGCCCTTTTGCTCCACACGAGATTTCTGTTCTCGTTGAGCTCATCTTAGGACACCTGCGTTATCTTCTAACAGATGTGCCGCCCCA